TGACAGTGATGTTTGCATTATTGGTTGGGGACCGCTGTGTTATATCATCAATTAGATCTGCTGGAAACAGATGTCTGAACTAAACTATGGATCCTTGCCCTCCACATTCAATTTCCACTCTCCTAGAAAAGGAGGCAAGTCTCCTTCAAAGTGATTGTCTTGGGCTTTCCAAACATTTTTGCGGGCTTGAGTATGGTCAGGTGCCGTGCGCCCATCTCCCACAGCTCCCTGATCATGCTGACCTTCCTCTTCACCCTGCCCCTCATCATTCTCACTTTCTGTATCCTGACTGTCTGTTGTTATGGTTCAAAATATTGGGGATGGAGACAAGAGGAAAAACCACAATAACAACACTGGTCCGGCCGGGTCAAGTCAAACGATGATTTTAATGGTCACACACGTGGGAGATGGAAACTGAATGCAGACAGCCTCTGATCTCAAAATGGTGGAGGATTACTCAAACTCTTATAGCCTCTGGTGCCTCCACCTTATCATAAAAGCCTAAGCATTCACATGCTTTTCTCTCACACGGCGCCTAAGCTACGACCTTGGCTCCCTGTTTATCTGCTCCTGCTGAGATGGGGCAGAAAACTCCAGCATGTTCTCTTCTAATCAGACAAATAAGGCGATGACTTTCTGCAAACAGTATTTCTTATAACATCATAAAACAATATCATTCATCCGCAATAAATCAGCAGTCTAATGTAATGCAAATCAGTTTAACAAATGCAATAGTTATCAGCTTCTTCTACTTCAGGAGAATAATGCAAACTAAAACTACATAATAATTCACAACCTTTAATTAGGGGTCTAACATGGCATAAAATAATATTATAACGTAACGCTGTCTTCATCATCCATAGCTCGTATGTCTCTGTTCTGCTCTGGCAGCCACTCCTCATCACTGCACTCATCACTGAAATCATCATCACTGGAGCTGGATGGAGTTTCCTGGACTGTTCTGTACGCTGCCTTATTCTTTGCTGCATTTGAAGTCTACAAAATATGATAAAATAATTATTATAGTAACTCAAACTACAGCTGATCTGCACAGAAATATATATTTTAAATGAGTAGCTTATAAATGTAACAGATATACACTTATAACCAAAACAATGAAGCAATTTATGACTTATATAGTGGGTATGCTTGACGTCCACTTCATTGGACACATGGTTAATCGTAGTTTTTTACATATTAGACATAAACATTTTCTTATTCCGAACAGATAACATCTTTCCCTCGATGTTACTGCATATCATCATATTTTTTTTACCTGTTGGGCTCTTCTAGCATAGAAGGATTGACAGGATATGCCAGCAGTCGGCAGGGATGACAGTTTGTCTGCCATCTTTGATTCAGAGGAAATTTACTTGCAGTTGCACTAACTGAACACTGAATTGACCTTAATGGAGCATGGCAGCAGAGAGCACTCTAGAGGCTAATATGCAGTTCCACCATAGAAACCAATGCATTAAAGAGATATGTACGTTTTAGTAGCTGTCCACTCCAGTGACCACTATGCATCAGAGGGTTAACTTTGTGAATATCTCTGTGAAAGGCCGAGCCGCCTTTGTGCTCCTCATATTGTCACCTCCTCATTTTCTGTCACTTCATTTCCAGCTTCTTTCAGCACCTTCAGACTCAAAGAGAAGGACGTTAAATGGTGTCTGTGAGAATGTCTCTGTGCTCTGTGAAAGAGAAGAACATAATGACTGAATTAAAGAAGTGATTTAATAATCTGCTTGTTACTAATCACTGAACACGACGAGGGCAAATGAAATTACAGCGAGTGTAATTAGAGGAAGTCCTGCTGCAGTCTGAGATTCTCCACAAACACGCTCTGCTTCATTAACGAAGAAAGAAACTTCCAGAACAACTAGTTTGTCGTTGGGATTTGTGAACTGGGCGTATTCTCCCCATTCAGAGTCTGATAAAGACACAGACTGTAAATAAAAGACGAGCGTCGGTTTTGAACAGCATGTTGGCCACAGCCATGTCAGGTGACATTTGCACGTGAGGGCAGAGACAACTGAACTTCCTGTCCCACAGGGGGCGCTCCAGAGAAGCTCAGCAATGGATGGAGCTCAAGCTGCAGAATGAAAATGGTGTCGTGTCTGGAAGTAAATGTTTTCTTTGGTCTCCTTCGCTGTGATATGGACACTGAGGGCAGGTAAAGACCCAGGTGTACACCTGTAACTGTCCCAGAAAAAAGCTCAAGTCAGTCAAAACAGAAAGAAACGGAACCAGACCAAAATAAAAGCAGAAATGCTGCAATGAGAAGTAAGAGCATGTGCAAAATCATTAAAGTGACCACACTGAGGTAAGACAAATAAAAAGGATTGTAATGATGTAAAGAGAAGCAGCTGTTTCATCCCAGTGCCGGTTAAAGTCGAGCTCGTGCTTCATGTAGAACCTTGAAAAGTCTCTGAGGGAAGACGCCATCGCTTGAAAATACACTTAAAGCCCTGCATTCGGTTTCTGCCTCCCTGAAGCCACCGAAACGAGATGAAAGAAATGCTGAAGTTTCAGAAACGACTGCAAAATCACCTCCACCACAGAAAATTCAACAGCACACACAACCCGAGAGATGAGGTGGCGAAAACCACCAGAATAATACAGAGCACAGCTGATAAGATGTTAGATCGTAACACAAAATCATCAAACAAACTGTAACGAGACCAAAAACAAACAGTCCAACAAAAACATGTCAGATAGTATCAGAAAACAAAAACTCCCCCGAAAAGCACAAAAATGGGACACCTGCTGCAGGTCCACGAGGCAGGGGTCCAGGGAAGTCTGTCCAAGGAGAGGAGACAGACGTTAGAGAGAGCCGGGGCTACGCTGACACTGGGTAACGATCGAGCAGACTCCAGGTAACCATCTGTGATGAGTGGCAGAGCTGTGTGGATGAGGACAGAGGGAGGGACCGTAGTCTGACTCCGCCCTGGTGAGGAGGGGTGAAAACAACATCCTAGAGATCCCGGAGACACAACAGGACACAACAGGACGCCCATCACACAGACAGGACTCATGCAAGATGTAGGAGAATAATAATATTTTAGAAGTCATAAAAACACTGAACCTCCTGCTGGGGTCAAACAGGGCCCACAGGTACGAGTCCCACCTGGTGGTTGGGATCCGTTACATTTCACCGCTTTATAGTTTGTTTTTACATTTTGTGTATTTTCTGTCTTATTTTTGTCACTTTTCCCTGTTTTTGGTTGTCTTTTGCTTTCACAGCTGATCTTCACGTCCCAAACCGTCCAGTCTTCACAGGAAGCAGGTTAGAAAGTCTGCGCCGATGCTGGTTATAAATCCTGCAAGGTGCATCATCATCACAGGTGTGTCAGACACACTGCACAGACCTCAGATGAGACACTTTTCATGAGAAGATGAGATGAGAAGAGTCTGTAGTTCTGAGCGTGTAATTAGAATAGATTAATAACCTGCTGGGATGTTTTACTGGAGATGAATCCGTCCCAAACAGATTCAGTCCCAGAGCTGTTTTCTTGTGGCTGACAGAGCAAACACACGTGGAATAAAGACTTTAAGGGACGCAAATGTAACATGAATCGATGCAGCAAAAAGCAGCACGCCGAGCTCGTCATGCAAACACAGAGGGGTGGAGCTCAGCCTGACCACGACCAATTGGCTGATGCTGAACCAACACAGAGCGCAGCGACTGTGTTGGTTCATGTTTTCAGGATCTGTGCAGGTATTTTTGAGCAGCACTACTATGATTTCTGTGTGAGGTACATTAGTAAAACACTTTAGACAGTGATAAGAGAGTCACTCCTGGGAGTGCACTGTTGTTCACTGTACTTTTAATCATTTTACCGTGCTGATTTGTCTGAATGTGAGATTGTGGCGGGGCGTGGTCTGCAGTGCGGCTGCAGGAGAGATGGATGCACCTGCGATCACGCCTCGCCGGAGTAAAAAGTCCGCACTGGGTGCTGGTTGTTATTGGTGTTGGTGTTCGGCTGGCGGCTGAAAAGCTGCAGCCGTGTGTGACAGTAACCACGACAGGTCTGCCGTGTGTTCGTTACAGAGATGTTTTAATGTGCTTCTTTATTATTTTCTAATGTTTTTGTTCCAGATGTGAGAAATAAAGAGGAATGAATCTGCAGTGAGTGTTTTGTATCTCTGACAGCTGGATAAACGGCTGCAGGTCGCTCCTGCAGAGCGGCGACGGTGTCCTGAAGCTCGCCGCTGTGGTTCTGGTTAGTCACTGACTTCTGTGGAGGGCTGAGCCTGTAAGCAGGACGCTGCTGTTCTTGGACAGATGTTTCTGTTTTCTTACATCATCACGTTTGAACCCTGCAGTGTGCGGCTGCATCACCGTCCTGATTAGGACTGTTTGCTTCTTCATGCATCCCTCCGGCTTCTTGTAAAGACAACTGAAATTAATTTCAGGCCTCAGTGAACCAAATTCTCTGGCTGGGGATCCGGGTCAGCGGATTGGAGGTTTGGAAGCGGGGTGAGGGATATGTTTCTAACAAGCTGCCTTCAGCCCTCTGGCCATGAACACGAGGAGCTCAGGAGACTCTGAAACAGAGGATGCAAATGATTCCACATCATCTGCTGCTGTAACCGTCATCTGTGTCGACTGCACAGAGGAGCCGCTCGCCGCTCGCATTAGAGGGATTTAAAGACAGAGAGTCGGCCTTATTTTCGGCTACGGCAGAATTTTTATTTCAATACACGACAGACCAAGTTCAGACAGATGGGTCCACACTCACTACACCGTATATATGGGTACAGCGCTTTCATTTGTTTGAACCTTTATTTGTCTGCGGCCTGAAAAGTTCTCAGTCCACTCCATCTCCATCATCACCATCATCCTTCCACAGGTCTTGTGGGTTTCGAGAGCTCTGGTCTCATGTTGGATATTTTCTTCCATCTGTTTTGGAGGTTTTGATGTTTCTGTGTATGGCAGCGGTGAGGCCTCCTGGTGTTGTTGGTCTCTCTCAGCCTCATGTTGTTCCTCCTTTTGTCATGGCCTGGGTCTAGGGACCCAGGGCTCAGGCATTTTCAGTGTATGTTTATGTTTTCCGTGTGTTGTATTGGTTTGCTCTCCGTCTCTCCATGTGTCTCTGTGTGAGCTTCCGGAGGTGTGGGTTCGCTGAGGAGACTGCGAACCCGGAAGTGGTCTACTCGAGAGACAGCCGCACCTGCCGCTCGTCGTCCTCTGCCAGCTGCAGCAGATTACGCTCGTCTAGGAACGGCATTTAGGACTGCAGCTGAGCTGAGGCCGACGCTGGATCCTTGAGTCAGAACTCGTCAGTACTGCCGTGAGCTTTTACGTAACCTCCGAGGAAACAGATCCCCTGCTAACCCTCTGCCTTTTGTGTTACCAGGAATCGGGAGCGGAGTACGCCTCTAAAGTCACGGTGTGGGAATTGGAGTTTTTTGGAGTCGCCACCTTTCACTTCTCACGGACATCTGCACTGTGTGGGATTCAGGGAGAATCACCACGGGACCACAGTGCTGGGATTTTGTATATAGTTGTGTGTTTTTCACCTCCTGTAAATAAATCCACTGTCCTTCACTTAGAGTCTCGCGTTTGGGCCCTGCTTTCACTGTCACTCCACGGTCTGCCATCGCAGCCCGTGACACCTTTGGCCTGTTTGAATGTGACTTTGGTTGTTTGGTGCCCGTCGAGCCTTGCTGTGGGTGTCTTTCTTTCCTCTTTTTAGTGCTCTTGCACTTCTTTTGATGATCTTGTTCTTTTTTGCTAGTTTAACTCTGACTTTTTTGGGCTGTATTGTGTGATATTTATCACTTTCCCTGTGATGAGTCTGGGTTCCTTTGTGTGTCTCTTTGTCGAACTCGTGTCTTTACCTGGGATATTTTGGAGGTGTGGTGGACCCTGTGGGGCCCCTGTGTATGTGCCTGGTGGGCCTTTTGGTGATTCATTCATGCCACAGTTTAGAAGCACTTCTTTCAGGAAGTATAAAAAGTGAATCTGGCTCCACGAGAGAAACGAAGAAAAGATGTTTTCCAGCGCTGAGTCTGAGGCACGGCGTGCTGAGGGAAACACTGAGGCTGCAGGAAAGTGACATGTGTCAGGTCCTGGACTTGTAATGGGAGAAACTACACGGCTTTGTACTCAGGGACCTCGAACAGGACAGGTCAGGAGCAATGACATGAGTGGGTGGCAGACAGAAATGAAAAGGAGAGCGAGGGGAGTCGTGCGGAAAACAATGGTTCAGTCGAATCACTTCCCCCCTCACAGCTGTGAGCAGCACACCTACCGGCTTCCTGTCTGATAAAACATCTGATCTGTGGACTGTAACGGGAGAGGACTTATCATGAAATAAGATGTAGAGACAGCAGAAAACAGGAGCGATAGGAATCGCTTCAGCGAGAAAGAGGGGAAAAAGGAGGCGAGGGTGAAAGTGAGGGCAGGGGAAGTGATGGAATCCCGTGAAGCCAAGGCGGCGATCAGAGACGGCGAGCTCTGGCTCAGGTGATTTTTCTCAGAGTAAAGCTGCAGACCTCTGACCCTCTTCATGCCTGGAAAGGATTTCATTTTTATCCTGGTGCTTTATTTCAGTCAGGGGGGAGGAGTCAGAAGCAGAGCCCACTGCCGCTCTGCCAGAGTGCTTTTGGGCAAGGCATCAAAATCCTCATTTAGAACACATATGAATGTGCTTTGAATAAAGAGCGTCACTCATGAGGTGCTGGGAGAACTCACCAGGTGCAGCAGGTGCAGCAGGAGCAACAGGTGCAGCAGGAGCAGCAGGTGCAGCAGGAGCAACAGGTGCAGCAGGAGCAGCAGGTGCAGCAGGTGCAGCAGGAGCAACAGGTGCAGCAGGAGCAACAGGTGCAGCAGGAGCAGCAGGTGCAACAGGTGCAGCAGGAGCAACAGGTGCAGCAGGAGCAACAGGTGCAGCAGGAGCAGCAGGTGCAGCAGGAGCAACAGGTGCAGCAGGAGCAGCAGGTGCAGCAGGAGCAACAGGTGCAGCAGGAGCAGCAGGTGCAGCAGGTGCAGCAGGTGCAGCAGGTGCAACAGGAGCAACAGCTGCAGCAGGAGCAGCAGGTGCAGCAGGTGCAGCAGGTGCAGCAGGAGCAACAGGTGCAGCAGGAGCAACAGCTGCAGCAGGAGCAACAGCTGCAGCAGGAGCAGCAGGTGCAGCAGGAGCAGCAGGTGCAGCAGGAGCAACAGGTGCAGCAGGTGCAGCAGGAGCAACAGGTGCAGCAGGAGCAACAGGTGCAGCAGGAGCAGCAGGTGCAAGCAACAGGTGCAGCAGGAGCAACAGGTGCAGCAGGAGCAACAGGTGCAGCAGGAGCAGCAGGTGCAGCAGGTGCAACAGGAGCAACAGGTGCAGCAGGTGCAGCAGGAGCAGCATGTGCAGCAGGTGCAGCAGGAGCAACAGCTGCAGCAGGAGCAGCAGGTGCAGCAGGTGCAGCAGGTGCAGCAGGA